AATGCTGAATACTTGCATGTAATTATTATGCTATAATTAATAGGCATGTATATAAGCAACAAGTTTGACTTGGAAAAACAAATAATTAAATAACTTTTGCTTTCATTTGATATATTCCCCACAAAATTAAAACCGGTTGCCAAATTAAAACCAGTTTTGCAGTTTTATTTATAACCGGTTTCCCGGTTAGAACTGGTTTTATTATATTTGGTTTAAAACCGGTTCTGATTTTGAAAAGGTGATTAAAACCGGTTCTTGAAAATAAAACCGGTTCCAACCTCTATACAGGACAGGGAACTGATTGGGCAAAAACCCCGTTCAGTCCCCTACCCAAAATTATAAATTGGTTAAACAGTGAATTTATGAAAATGATTATACAAAACAAACACTATTTTACAACTTTCCTCTTAACATCAGAGTCCAAATACAATTTCAGAGCCACCAACCCTGCTCTGAATTGTGACCTCCTGTGCTTGAATGAGCTGGAGATTCTCTTAAGAGTTGCAACAGCTTGGTCACAGAGCCATCCTTACCCAAAGGTAGGATCGTTGCAGGTAACTTTTTGGCTAGCATGCCAGCAGCCATCTCTGGTCTGGTGCTGTAAGGGAAGATTAGTTGAAAGTGTTCTTGACAATTGATGCAGTTTTGATGCATTCCAGGGCCACACCCCCGCCCCCCAGAATTTTAGCAGCATCATTGTATCATCGGAGGGAGCAGGTCAGATTAGCCTTGTGTACATGAGGAACATGTGAGAATGACTGTAAAGTGTTCAAGGTAGCATGTGTGCTTCAACACTTGTCAAATTTCCGATAATCAAACATCACATACTCAAAATGTTCATATTCAATGGTGTGCTGCCTTGACATCTTGTGATTATATATTAATATTAGTATTATTATTACGATTATGCAAAGCAAAATATTATCAATGAAAATCTTGTAATTACCCAGCAAGATCTGCTCCATGTTTTGATTCCAATTAAAATATTTATAAGCCAAAATAAAAGACACCTCATATATATCAATACAAGTAAAAAAAGTACCTCTGGTTAGTTATTAACACGTATTCTTTAGGATACCCAAACCAAACCAAACAACAACACTCACGTTTCGTCACCTTGGTCTCTGTCAAAAAATAAATTGTTTTTCCAAAAAAAAAACCCCCCAATTCGCGTCTGTCCTACCAAAAATCTTTGTACAACACCGAGTGCCAATAATAATGTTATATATATATTTTTTTTTTTTTTTTTTTTTTGATTTTAACGTTTTTTAAAAAATGCCAGAATGGTGGTGGTGGTTATCGCCACTCATTGTCACTCTAGTTATTATTAAAAGAACGGTGGTGGTGATTGTGAATGTAAAATGTTTGAAGACCTCTACTAATGTAAATAATATACTCTTTCTTTTATTATGTACGCAGTGAATTAACAGACCAAGAAGTTAGGCCTTTATCACCCTCACCAGCTACTGGGAACATTAATTCACTCTATGCTGATGATAATTGTGAAGAAAATCAGATTGAAGATGAAAAAGTACAAATATTTTAATGTTAATTTGCAAATATTAATTTGATATATTGTTATTTAAAGGAATTAATTGATTAAAAACTTTTCTCATAAGTATACTGAACTATATGAAGTCAATACAGAATTGGTAGATAATCCTTTATTTGGTGGAGTACGTGTATATTGATTTATTTAATAGTCTTTTATAAATTATTCAACAATGAGGCCTATTGCATCAGTAACTTTTTTTAATGTCTCAGGCAGCCTAATTCTTCAAGAATTTAAAATTTCATTTTTATTCTTATGTCATGAACCTCAGCATTTTATCATTTGGCTTACCAACTTTTATTTTTTTTAATTCTCACTTTAATAAAAGGATTGTGTTGATATAAATTCAGAGACAAAGTTGT